CCCAAACAACAATTGGGCAAGGAAAATCAAACCTTCCCTCCAACCATACACCCAGGGTGACACTTTGGATAGTCCTTGGGTGATTTGCCCAGTTCAAGGGGTCCAAATTGGTTGTCCCAGTCAGCACCAGTCAGCACCAGTCTCATGTGGGAGAGTTCAAATATTTCTGGCAGCTAGATAAGAGGAATCTGCTGGCAGCTCAGATATACCTTGCTCCAGTGCTCCGTGAGGGCAAAAGGACCCACCCAGAAAATGAATTAGTCTGGGAAGGTTGATGCCTCCTTCCCACCTTGTACCTAGTCACTGGTAATCCTACACAGCTGTGACCCAGTTCACTCCAGTGAGCAAGTGCTCCCGGGGTTTACGACTGCCTAAGTCACCAGGAGATCTGAGTCCAGCACGGGGACCTTGAGTGTTTTTAATATAGGCTGTGGCAGTTCACTCAGTTCCAGCCCCACGCCTGTTTGATGTTGCTGTGGAACAGGACATAGCCACTACATAATTTGTTTCTGTCCCCGCTAAATTCCTCTGCAAGTCAGAGGTTGCTAGAGCTGATAAGAAACTCAGCCCTGGGCAGGAATCAATTAGTTTATATTCAGGTGTCAATTCCAGGCTCTGCCCACCCACTGCCTTTGTCTCAGCTATATTCCACTGAGGGCTAGGTGCTAATATGGTCTCTTCACTTACAGAACTTCCTAAGTTTGTTCTGCCAGTGGCTGCTATCCAGAACCTCTGGTTGCCCAGAGAGACAGGGTGTGCCTATCTGTAATGGCCTAAGGGATATGAGTGTTTCCCACAGCTCAGGATACCACAGCTCCTGTATAGTTTCCTCTGAGCTAACCGTCCTCTCCTCAGTCCCATGCCACAGAGTCAGCACAGACCAGCACCAGCCCTTTCCCCCTCCACTCCTCTCAAGGAAATGCCCAAGAATCTGGACTCCATGGGTGACAAACCTCCAGACCTCAGGGTGAGAGTGGGGGGAATCCTGGGAGTTCAGATTTGCAGGTAGGGAATATATACAGTTTTATATAGTTTTACAGTTTTATGCCTGACAGGAATGGCATGCCAGCAGGGGTAGGAGGTCCAGTTTTTAGGGGGTTTCTCCAGTAGGATAGAGTGAGAGGATGTTTGAACTCTGCTTACTTGTTTGTATGGAGTAAACTACAAATCTTTCTTGTGGGGGAGGGGACTCCCGTCGGCATGGTGGTGGATTTTGTACCTTTTGATTGTATTTTTGGGGTTGCAGCTTGCCTCAGGAAGGTTGAAGTGTGTTCTTCAATCTTCTCTCTTGGCTCAGCTCCAAACCATCAGCTCCCTTGCTAAATTTCTGTCCTTTAAGTCGCCTTCTGGACAGGAGCCTCTGTAGAAAGCTGGCTGAAGTCCACCATCTTGCCTCCACCCCAAGATATCTTGTTAATTGTAATACTGATTACTCATTGAAATATTTTGCACATATTGTGTTAAATGAAATATATTAAAATTGGTTTCAACTAATGCAACATTTTTGGAAAGAAGTATGGAGAATCTTCAAAGAACTCAAATGAGACCTCTCATTTGATCCTGTAATCCAGTGGTTCTCAACCTTCCTAATGCCTCCTAATGCCATGACCTTATAATACAGTTCCTCATGTTATGGTGACCCCCATAAAATTATTTTCGTTGCTACTTCATAACTAATTTTGCTACCGTTATGAATCGTAATGTAAATATCTGATATGCAGGATGTATTTTCATTGTTACAAAGGGGTTGCAACCCACAAGTTGAGAACCACTGCTATAATCCCATTGCTAGAAGAAAAAAAGACATTTTATCATAAGGACATTTGCACTAGACTGTTTATCTCAGCTCAATTTACAATCACCAATATGTGGAAATAGCCTGAATATCCACCAACTTGGGAATTGATGAACAAACCATGGTATATGTACACCCTGGAATACTACTCACCCATAAAAAACATGGAGACTTTAATCTTTTGTACTAACCTAGACAGAGTTGTAACATATTCTTCTTAGTAAATTATCACAAGAATGGAAAGGCAAGAATCCAATGTACTCAATACTAATATGAAGCTAGTAAACAATCTAATATGCCGACATAAGAACTCAAATCAGTTCAAGGTCGGGAGACAGGGGAATGAGGGAGAAGGGAGGAGGGGGTGTGGATGTGCTTCCGCTTAGTGGACACAATGTTAGGGTGTATGGCACACCTCTTGGGGGCAGGACATAATTATAACAGGGACTGGACCTAACAAAGGCCAACATCATAACCTAATTTTTTGTACCCTCAAAATTAACCTGAAACAATTTAAAAAAGAAAATTAATGAATTTTACCTGTTTTTACATTTTAAAATTTTATCAATTTATCAATTAAAATTTATATTCTGATGTCTCTAAAATACTTCCATTCCAGACTCCTTTTTTGAGTGACTCCTTACATCTCCCTGGCTCATTTTCCAAGGGCCTATTTGACAGCTTCATGAGGATGACTAATTAGCATTTCAGACTTAACATGTCCAAAGCAGAATCTTTGAATTCTCTCATTCATGCCATACCTGTCCCTTTGTAAGTGCTCCCCAAGAACTGAATGTCCCATGCTCTATCTGTCCTTCCCTAAGTGCTCCCCAGCAAAGTAAACGTCAGATGTCTCCACTGGTCGCCAGCTGCAAGTCTGTAAGTCATCCTTGGTGACTGATGTACCCAGTCTCACACATCTCCATCTGCACATCTTGTCAACTCTCCTCCAAAACATAGCCTGAATTTTGCGTACTGTCCATCACTACTCCTCTTACCAAAATGATACCACTTGGACAACTGCAACATATTTTAAACATTTTTATTTTGCTTATTTTTTATGAGATATAACTCTACCTCCTGTGACATTCAAATGGTACCGAAGAGAATAATGTACGTAGCAAGTCTTTTCTGCCTCTTTATCCCCAGTGCTCTTGGGTACCAGATTTTTTCTGTGTTCTCTCAGTTACTACACATAATTATTTATTTTTTTACCCAACAATGTAGCCTAGAGATTGCCCTCATTCTTTTTTTAACATATGTAAAGAATTCTGTTGTGTGGATCCATTATACTTTATTGATAGACATTTAAATTGTTTCTTGTGTGTTGTAGCACTACTGTACGCAGGACAGCAACAAATCACTTGGACAATCATCATTACACAGATTTTAACTTTAGGATAAATTCCTAAAAGTAAAACTGCTCAGTCAAATAATAGATGTATTTTTTAATTTTGACAGTACCAATTTGTTCTCATTACAAGTTGTACCTCTGTATGCTACACTAGCATTGCAAGAAATAGCCTGTTTGCCAAACCATTCACGATCAAGCTTATTACCAGACTTTTTGTCTTTGCAAATCTAATTAGTGAAAAATGGCTACCATAGTGGAGCTTCAACTTATATGTCTATGGTATAAGTTGAACCTTATATCATAGGTATAAGGAAGGAAGTTGAACCTTTTTTATATAATTGATAAATATTTTCTTTTCGAAGAATTCTCTTTATGTCTGCTTATTTTATCAGAGTAGATGCTGGGTTTTTTCTTATTGATGAAATTGGCTCTTTGTTGCTCATATGAATCACAAATATTTCTTTGACTCTGTTGATGGAATTTTTCGATATAGTTTCTGGTGCCAAATTCATCTTTTTAAAAATGCTCCTCATACAAAATTTTCAGGGGCCACTACTGGTCTCTGTACTTCCACTATTGCATTTATGTGATGTGTAAACAAAATGATCTTTTTTAGTTAAACTTGGGGTTTGCTTTGTCAAAGGATGATGAGACAGCTATTCTATGTCTGAACTAAAAAGACAAAACTGGATTTATGGCACTGTCAGCCCTTGAACAACTTGAGGATTAGGGGAAATGGCCCTGTGTGCAGTTGAAAATCTGCATATAACTTCTGAGTCACTCAAAATTTACTAAAAGATACTGTTGACTGGAAGCCTTACCAATAACATAAACAGTCAATTAACACATACTTTGTAGGTTATATTACTATAAACAATATTTCTACAGTAAAGGAAGCTGGAGAAAAAGAAAGTGTTAAGAACGTCGTAAGGAAGAGGAAACATATTTACTACGCATTCATTGGAAGTGGGTTTTCATAAGGGTCTTCATTCTCGTCTTCTCATCAAGTAAGCTGAGGAAGAGGAGCGGCTTCTGTCACTGCCTCAGAGGTAGAAAAGGTGGAGGAGGCGGAAGGGGGAGCAGGAGGGGAGGGCACAGTATAACTTCTTGGAAATACGTTGTAATTTTTGTTTTTTCATGTCTCCAAAATGGTTTCTATATAGTACCAGTCATTCTTCCACCATTTGCTTTCGTTTCAGTTCACGTATCACAGGCGGGTCCATGTTTTAAAAGAAGTCACATGCAGTCTTGAGTAGTCAGAACCCTTCTGCCAGATTATCCAATGCCAACTTTTCTTGCCCTCTTTCCTCCACATTGATTTCCTCATCACCTGACATTGGTGTTGAGCGCTCATCTCTCCACCAAGTCGTCTTCTATTATTCCCTCTGGTACGGTGTCTGTCGGCTCTTGAGTTTCTCCAAGATCACATCTTGACAACCTGAATCCCTCATCTTTTTGCCACATTCACAATCTCCTTCAGGATTTCCTTGATTGGCTCAGTTCTGAATCCTGTGACGTCGTGCACCACCTCTTGACCCAGTTTTCTCCAGCAGAAATTTATCATTTCAGGCTTGATTACTTCCATAGCTATTTTTGTATCAATGATGGTGTCTTCAGGGGTGTAACCTTCCAAACTTCCTGACGTTCTCCATTTGGGCTTCTCTTCCACCGCATTGACAGTCCTTTCCATAGAGAGCCATGTGTGATGAGTCTTAAAGGTCCTTATAACCTTCTGACCTAGAGGCTGTTGCAGACAGGTTGTGTTTGGAGGCAAGTAGACCACCTCCATGACTTCACTGTTGACCTGATGGGGTTCTGAACAGCCAAGCACTTTGTCCAATGTCAAAGTAATTTTTTTTTTCCAATTTTAAATACAGCTTTATTTAAGACATTGCATTTTCCACTTACAATACAGTGCTTTTAAAGTGCAATGTTACTTCCTTCCCCTGTGCACATGTTCCATATTCAAGTATTGAAAATGCCCAGTAATTCACTATAGCAGCCCAACCTTAAATCTGCCACATAATTTGCTACAAATTTGGATCCTTCAATGTTTTACTGTGTGGAACAATGCTATATCTACACTTGGGTTGGCTTAATCAACCTCTTCAATGGTGGGGCCAGAGGAAGCACCACCAGAAGGAGGAGCACCACCACCAGGAAAGCCCCCAGGCATTCCTCCTGGCATGCCCCCTGGCATTCCGCCTGCACTCTGGTACAACTTGGTAATGATGGGGTTGCAGACTTTCTCCAGCTCCTTCTGTTGATGTTCAAATTCTTCCTTCTCTGCAGTCTGGTTCTTATCAAGCCAGTTGATAATTTCATTACACTTGTCAAGAATCTTCTGTTTGTCTTCATCATTGATCTTGCCTTGAAGTTTCTCATCTTCAACAGTTGCTTTCATGTTGAATGCATAGGACTCAAGTGAATTCTTTGATGAAACCTTGTCCCTCTACTTCTCATCTTCAGCCTTGTACTTCTCAGCTTCCTGGACCATACGTTCAATGTCTTCCTTGCTCAAACGTCCCTTGTCGTTAGTGATGGTAATCTTATTTTCTTTTCCTATACTCTTATCCACAGCAGAGACATTGAGAATGCCATTGGCATCAATATCAAAAGTGACTTCAATCTGAGGAACACCACGGGGAGCAGGAGGTATGCCTGTAAGTTCAAACTTGCCAAGCAAGTTGTTATCCTTGGTCATGGCACGCTCACCTTCATAAACCTGGATGAGCACACCTGGCTGGTTGTCAGAGTAGGTAGTGAAGGTCTGTGTCTGCTTGGTTGGAATAGTGGTATTGCGCTTAATGAGCACAGTCATAACTCCACCAGCAGTCTCAATACCCAGAGAAAGAGGAGTGACATCCAATAGTAGCAAATCCTGAACATTCTCGGATTTGTCACCAGATAAGATGGCCGCCTGGACAGCTGCACCATAAGCAACAGCCTCATC